CAACACAAGCTAGAACTCAGAACATCATATGAACTTCCAGATTGCATCTGCCCTAACACAGGAACACTTTGGATAATTTTCCCTGCAGGTGGCCAGCCGGCCACCTCAACTGGTCGGTAAGGTACCTCAACTGGCCGGTTGGCTGGTGCAAGTGGCCGGCCGGCCACCTCTCTTTCCAGAATTCTGCTTTTGCTGCAACAGAGAGCAATAGAGCCAAGACAATGTATTTTGAAGGAAATGTGTGTACTATCACCCTCCTCATCATTTCTCAAGCTCAAATGAGTGTGGTACTTGGCTCTCAAGCCACCAATAAAACATCTTAGTGCATGATGGCTGAAGAACCAAGCTTGTACAAGCTTAGTGAATGCACAAACAATATACAAAGAGCCTCCACCCTATCATGCATGATTAAGGGTGTTGGCGACCAAGAAATGCAACACGTTTCATCACTTTGAGTATGAAACGTCTCACATTTCTTGTGTTTGGATTAACGTCTGATCCAAACACATGCAATACAACACACACATGTTATCTTGGCATGTTTTACTTATCCACTTTCTTGTTTGCACATTTTAGCTTACCAATTAGTCCGTTAACCGGTTAAGTTCAATGTGAAAAGTCCACTAATTGGAAAGATGGTCTAAGCCACAAGTGCCTTGAGCATGAAAGAGGTTTAATGCTGTTGGTTAGTAGAAATCCTCAAGGGAGGATTAAAACCATTAGGCATGCGAACCTCAATTCCACATTCAAGCCATCAAGGGGCTCAAGACTACTTTCAAAGCGAATGAAAGATTGAAACGATGGAGTGCAATGACATATATTTTAGCACTGAAATAACATGCTAAATGACTTAAAATCATGCAAATAACCCATTTAAGGCATGTTTAAAAGCTAAGGCATCAAGGCTAGTGAAGTGTATTACACTAGAAGCATGCAATACAGTGCTCAAACAACCAAATCAGCTCAAAACAGAACTTAACCAGGCCAAATCAGTGGCCCTAAAATGCTGGAATTGAAGCATAAAGTGCATGAAAATCATGCTCATTCATTAGCTTACAAGTAAGGCATAACACTCAACTCTCAAAAGCACTTAACGAGTGATATGTGTGAGAGTGTGACAGAGGTATATGCTCTGAAATTATGTGCTAAAGGATGTTATATCATGCAAACATCACAAGCAAAGCATGCTAGGGGCCTTAAAACACAAGGCTAGTAAAGGCCATTACACTATGGCCATACAAGGCAAGCCTTCAAGGGCCAAGATCATTCCAAAAAGAGTTTAAGCATGCTAAATCAAGGCGAAAATCATGCTGGAGCATAGCCAAGACAAGTTAGAAAGAAAGGCCAAAACATCAAGTATATAAAGCTAGTGAGTGTGATTGCACTACAAGTACAAAAACTAATCGAGAGGTGACACAACCAACCAAAATCAGAGTTAAAGCATGCCAAAATGACACCAAAAACATGCTTGAACTAAGCCACAAAAGAGTAGAAAGGTGGACTAACTCATTAGGCATGATATGCTAGTAAGCAAGATTACACTACAAGTGTAAGATGCAAGTAATGAGTGGCCAAACCATCCAAAAACAAAGTTTAAACATGTTAAAATAAAGCCCAAAACATGTTCAAACTAAGCTAAGACAAGTCACAAAAACATGCTACTTTGCAAGGCTAACTAGGCATAGCATGGAGAGACAAGGAGGGGAAGCCACCCCCTTCTATTTGGGACCTCAAAACAAGTTTTCTACCACTAAAATTCCTCTGGAATTCAGTGGTTAAAGGGCCAAAAAAAGGTTCTTTGAAATGCTTTAAAAGGTGGCTCAACACCTAGCAAATAAGCAACAAAGGAGGGTGGAACACCCCTAACTTCAAATAGGCCTCAAACCACCATTTTAAACACTTAAAAAATAGATGTTTTTGTAGTTGACAACTAGGCCAAAATCAACATTCAAAGGTGGCCAAGATTGTGTACAAAAATAAGCTTAAAAGAGCGATGTGCTCACCCTTGAAGCACAACACAAGAACAACCCCAAATTCTGAGCTAAAATCACCTTTTGGAGCTCAAACAAAGTCCCAAGCTAGATCAGCCCAAAGATGATCAACTTTGGTTAAGGAAGTGTATGCAAATATGTAGGGAATTCTCACTTTCAAGCCTAAAACAAGAGAAGAGAGAGAGAATTCTAGAGAGAGGGGACAATTTGCTCACAAATCTTCTAAAGAGAGGATTTTAGTGTAAGAAGCTCCCAAATTGCCAACCTCTCAATATATGAGATATATCCTCCATATATAGCAAAAATGGAGCCTTGGTCAAAATAGCTGAGTTTGGAAATATCTAGAGCAGTGTATAACAGTTGGAGAAGAAAGATCTGGAAAAAAAACATGAGTTTTGGACAAAAGTGGCCGGTAGGCTACTTCAAATGGTCAGCCAGCTACCTCAACTGGCCAACCGGCCACCCCTGTGGCCGACAGCAA